GACCTCAGAGGGCTCTCCCAGCACTGCAGTCAGAAAGTTCTCAGTTAGTTGAGGACTGTGCCACCCTAGAAGGACTTTCAGCTAAGTGAATACTGTGGATATACTTGCATTCAAGAAGGTTAACTCCTAGTAAGGGGAAGTTTAAACCTGTGTTTAGAAATTAGTAAAAGTGAAGTCTCCTAGCCCTAACCCAGTTGACCACCCACTGTACCCAGCACCACCTCCCTTTAAACTAGCCATTAATGATTTGATGGAAATTCATCATGGTCTGGATTTCTTCCTGTCTGTCCATCTCTTTCTGTCTCTTTCTGTCTCCCACTGTCTCTCCCTCCTTTACTCCTGAATGCCCAGAACTGTACATGTATATATTTACTTATTTTATAAAAATAGGATTACACTAAACATTTACCTGAAATTTGCTCTTTTTCACATTAATAAACTAGTGATATCTTTCAATATATTTTATTGTTCATGATTTTTAATGGCTTGGTTTTATTCTACTTAAAAATTGTGTTCTACTATAGCTACTTATTTGTATTTCATTCACAGAATTTCAGACATAAAAACATTAAATGTACTATCAAGTTTTTAATGGAATTTTTGACATATCAACCCATATTACTCGAAACATTTATTTTAATTATGGTTGGAAATTACTTTTAATGAGGCAATACATTTTTACTAATAGGATTCAATTCTCAAAGCATCAGAAAGCACAATGGACTGACAATTGTGGTTGCAGAAATCTTTGTATAATACTAAGAGTCATGCATTTTGCTTCAATCCAGTGGTTTGTCATCTGGATAGAATTACGAATCAAAGTAAACATTCTTGTTAAAGAGACAGTACCCTCTATCAGTCATCCCAAAAGACTCAGGCAGCTCTAGAAAGGAGGACAGGATGTCTTGCCAAGAATCACATGGTGAGCAAGGACATTACACCTCACTGAGACACTTGCTCTATGCTTTGGCCCAGCCTAGCTTAGCCCAACAGTGAGAGCAGGAGGGACACAACAAAAACAGAAGATAAAGGGCAAATAAAACTGTACCCTTCCTTGGGCTCTCATATTGCCTTACAATTTTCAGGACAGACTCTCCAGCCCAGCAAGGGCATTTCTCTTGCTATAGGGGACACTGGGAACAAATGGCAAGCTTCCAAGGCTCCCAAAGGAAACAAAACCATTTGACTCTATCTTACTGTTGTAGGCAGCTGAGTTAGATAGAAATATTATAGGCAGTCAGACAGCGATAAGCCTTTGAAGGAGCCAATATGGAAGACAAGATACCTTGCAACTGTGGGAGAGAGGGGCACTTCTGCTATGGGCCAGACCTCAAAACAAAAGATTAAACAAATGCACACACATACCTCCCTAGGGTATCAGGACATCAGGGATTCATATTCTAAAGAGGTATCGTCACCTTGAAAAAGCCAGGAAAAGTAACTAACCCAATCCCCTACAGAAAAAGCCCCTGTTCTGTATTCATGCCTGCTTGCTACATGACTCACTTCCCCATTTGATCCTGGCTTAATCAATTTTACCTGAATAACTACACTTGTAATCTTATTGGCTGATCATAGTTTGGTCCCACCTCATGCCCTCCTTGCGATTTCCCATTTTTTCTCCACCTTGGACCCACTTCACCTTGTGGTTTTGCTCTATAAAATCTGTAAGAGGGGGCTGGGGATTTAGCTCAGCGGCAAAGCGCCTGCCTGGCAAGCGCAAGGTCGTGAGTTCGGTTCCCGGTACTGGAGAAAAACCAAAAAAA